GTCTATGCTCTAATCTGTCGATGTTCTATTCTATTTCTGGAATCAAGAAGTAATCTGCACAAAAAAAAAAAAATTAAAATCAAAAATTAAAACAAATGTGTCGAATGAAAGCAAATGTATAAAAATGAAACGATAATCAACTTCAAATTCTATTGAAAAAACTACCGGTAACTGTACTACTGAAATCAATAACTAAAAAAAAATCGATGCGAAAAGTTTCAAAGCACTACACGATTTCATTTCCGTAATGTTCAATTAATCATTAAACACACGTTTATTAATTACATGATACTATTAATCGCCATCGTTAGGTTAGAAAAAGTTAGAAAAAGTTAAAAAGTTAGAAAAAGAAAGGTTAGAAAAAGAATCTAGAGAAGTAATACGTGTTATCGTCTCGAAATTCTACAGCCAAATGACTCTCCGCGACACGTTTCGTCCTTCAATTGAGAAAGTAGCAGAAGATGCACAGATTCGACAATTAACAATAAGAGCCTTATACGTAAATGTTATGTTTATGTTTTCAACTTCGAGTTCCGAGCCTCAAAGGCTTCTACGCTTTACTTTATTTGAGAAATAGAAACTTTTATTATATTACGTAGGAAAATTATTATTTCAATTATTAACACGTACATTCTTAACTATTGTTGAATATTAGGATTGTTAAGAATTACGCAGTATGAAGTTAAAGGATAAGAGCAGAAAAAGTTATATGTAATAGAAGTACAAGCATAAAATAAAATATGTATATGATTTTAACAACTTTTTACAAGTTAAATATCAAGCATTTTTTACAACTTAAATATCAACATTACAGATTACACATTAATTGTACAGATTTATAAAATTCAGCTTTCCAAATTTTTCAATTTTCCAATTATTTCATCAAATTTGACTTCATCGTTAATAACAATTGAAACAAGCGTGAAATAAAAATAATACAAATATAATATTCAAATAATGTAATTGTTCACATTTTTGGTTTTTGAAGCATAAAAATTGTCATCACAAAAGAACCAAGTTTCTTGTAATATAAATGTTACAATATATGTGTTTACAAGAAGTATTATTTCTTTACAATACCCAATAAATTATCAAATAAACATATAGCAATGGAAATGACACAGTGAAAATTACATACTTGAAAATGATACGTTCGACTGCTCTTCCAATCAACACATTGTATTGCGCGCGAGATTGAAATTTTATATATAATTATATATTTCCTGAAATTTGAAGAAATGATTATATTTCTTAATGTTTCGTAATTTATTTCTTTTCAATTAAAATATTGATTTATTTATTATTTGTTCTTAATTAAATATTTCAATATTTCAATATCATAATTTATAGAGATTGTATTGATTACAGTGGTATAACTAACCAATCACATTATTCGTAAAATTCGTTCGTTTAAAATTTTGAATTTTGTATTTGAATTAGTATAAATTTTAATAGTTTTAATTCAAAAACAATGTGACAATTTAAAGAAATATTGTAAAGAAATATTTTAAAAATGTTTTATGTAGGAAATTACAAAGTAAAATATAATTTTTGAATTTTTCATTAAAAGAGTATTTAAGGTTATACGTATATGTATATATATATGCTCAAACACATATATAGGTAATGTAACAAGGATACTTATACACAATATATTATAAATATACAATTCAACATAAATTTTACGATATTATTATTTATAACCTAGTTAACCTTCTAATTACAACAATAAATTTTCTAGCAATTATTTTACTGTTTTCGTCAGAATTAAACTGCTTGTAAAGTCATGAAAGGAAAGTTTGAAATACTTACAATCGTTTGATTCTCTATATTTATTTTTTTCTTTTTTGCATTGCCGATACAACTCCAAAAATATATAGTATGAGAAACAAAATTAGCACGTTTTCCATATTGGTGTCAAGCTCCAGTTTCACCTGATCTTAAAGGCGAAAATCCGTCTTTTCATTATCATTATCATGCTCTTAGTAGCAAACACCATTTAATCGTGATAAATGCAGTTTTAAGCGATACGCACGCTAGATTTATTTATCGATATATAGGTAGCACAGGTAATAAACTAGTTCTCTCAAGAGTGCCATATAAACGTCGTTCAATTTCACGATTAACACTTTCTAAGTGCATTCACCATTGCGATTTAAAAGTTTTGATCCACTTTTCAATCCACTTGTAACGTATTTATACGTGCTCAATTTTCATGTAGTGATACTTCTGCCTACATCTAGTGATGTTTGCTCGTTGCGGCATCTAGTAGTAAGTCTCGTGTATCGAAATCACGTAGTTATCTATAGAGAAGTTCCTCGGTAAAGTGAGACATAAATTGGCGCCAAGGATTTCATTTTTCAGTTGACAGTGATTTGAATTGCAGTCTCGTGTTGAGGTTATCTTGTTGAAGGATTATAAAGAGATTCGAATTATGAAGAAATTAGGTAAGTATATCTTTTATTTCTTATAGAATAGAAAAAAAGTAAGTGCATTCAAAAGTAACTACGGGAAAAGCGTAATATATTTGTAATACTCATAAAATTTCATAATATTTTATTTAAGAGAATA